GCTAATGATTCCATTATTGATCAATCTGAAACAGTGAAAGTGCCCTCATAATGTCTCTGTGTTCCCTCTCTTAAACACAATGTATTCCACATCCACAGTCAGGGAACACATGAACACAACAACAACAACAACAACAACAACATTTCTTTATATTGTGTACACAGGAGCAGCCCCAGAGCCGTACACCAGGACACTGAATGTCACAGAGTACAGGGCTCTGCTGCAGTGTGAGGTTCGAGGTGCTTCTTTTAAACCTAAAGTAGAGTGGAAGGACAGTGCTGGAAACATCCTTCCTGCTGAGGAGCCACAGGTCTCAGACAGAGGAGGACGTTACTACGTTACCCTCCTCACCACTGTGACCAAGACCGACCACTACCGCTGTGTAGTCACACAGGAGGAAATCCACCATCAGACTCATTCTGAGACCTACGTGTTCATCTATGGTGAGATTTCTTTCTTGGTGGTTTAATTATGGGGGTATTTTCTATCTTCATTCAAGAGTTTTCTAACTGTATCTCAGTCCCTGTGCGTGTAATCAGATTTATTTATTAACCAATGAATTGTCTGTATTTCCTGCTCCTACTTGCAAATACTCAGCTATGTATGTCTGCATTTAAAGATTGAGATACAGTTACACAACTCTACACTCACCTTCGTAAACATATTTGTTTTTCTGCACACTGTCGAATAAAGATAAGAAAATACCTCCATATTTAATCATCAAATAAATAAATAAAATGTCATTGTTCATGAGTTTATTAGTTTTCAAATATTTTTAGACCCCTTTAATTGTTGTTGTGTGTAGTCTATGAGCAGTGTGCTGTACATGATCTGCAGTTACAGTTAGAGTGTTACATTAACTTTTTGTGATGTGTTTCAGAGAAACTGTGTGAGGAATCATCCAGCAAAGAGCTCATTGGATGGTTGGGTGGTGGATTGGTTTTAGGAGCTTTAATTCTTGCTGCAGTTCTGGTTTTGCTTGTGGCTACAAAGTGCATCATAATACGTCGTATTAAAGGTAAGTTTATATAATGTATCAACAGATCCATAATGTGCAGACATCAACATAACAGATCCACTGAGACTATCAGGTCCAGAGACTTTGACAGTTTGTGTTTGTCTTCTCAGATATGAACCATTCTGTTGGTATTTACATGAGGCCTCTGGTTCTAATACTGATTGATTCATTAAACATAAAGAAAACACAGTCATTAATCTATGATCATAACTATTGATTAAGCTCTGAATATCTCTCACACTCCGTCTGTAGGCTTAGTGCTTCTGCTGGGTTTGTTGTAGTCCTGAATATCTCAGGCTGTAACTCTTAAAGGAAGAGTTCAACATTTGGAAATTCCCTTACCTTACCTGTTAAGTATGGAGTTGAACCCAGGAGATGGTTAGCTTAGCTTAGCATAAAGACTGGAAGCAGGAGGAAACTGTGTCATGAACCTGCTCACAGTTCATCCAATTCAACTTTATTTGTTAAGCACTTTAAAACAACCAAAGTTGACCAAAGTGCTGTACAGGAGAATGAATAAGACATCATAAATAAAAGACATAACAGCTCACATGAGGAGCAAAATTACATATAAAATACAACAATAAATTAAAAGACATAAAACATGAGTAAAAATAATAGCCACGCAATAAAAAGCAATCAAAATAAGAAATTAAATCAAGTAAATAAAGTCGACATCTTCCTCGGTGTCAAAGGCCACAGAGAAGAGATTAGTTTTAAGATAGGATTTAAAATCAGACAGAGAAGAGGCCTGTTTAACGTTCAGAGGCAGATCATTCCATAATATAAGAGCCGACACAGCAAAGACACAGTCCCCTCTGAGCTTCCACTTAGTTTTAGGCACACTCAGGAGCAGCTGATCAAAGAAGGGAGACCACACAGACAATTTCAGTGTTTAAGGCCAAAATAAATTGAATTAAACAATATTCATACAAAACAAAGTATAAAAGATAAATGTACATCAGTGTTGTCTGTAGTGTAATGAGTGTGTGTGAGGATATGGGTAAAGTGTTGTGTGTGGAAAAAGGTAAAGGATTAATCAAACCAAGGACCTGCTGGCTGGAAGGAGAGAGAAAGACAATAAACTGATCAACCTCTTATAAAGCCTAGGAATCAGGATGAACCAGGTGTAGCCCATCTAATGGCCACAGTCCTGCCACTCTGTCTCCTGTGAAGAACACAAGATAAAAATACACAGACCAACCAGAGGGGGAGGGGTCATCACAACTGTCTGAAGTTAACAAATAAAAAACATTTTTTTATTTAAAACAAAAATAGAAAAGGCACCGGGTCAATTGGAAAATGTAAGAATCACTTTCGGTCTACAACAATGACTAATGAAAATGTTACTCACTTCCTTATTTTCTTTTCTTCAAAACCACAGAGAGACAGAGAGAGACTGACAGACAGCTACTGAACGGTGAGTACAGACAGAGAGAGGCAGTTGTATCAGGGCCAAAGTTACATATTTAAATTTATTTTATCAGGAATTGGGGAAGAAGATAATCTGAGGATGAGGACAGGATGTTATTTGATGTTTATTTAGGTCTTGCAGTGAGTGAATATATTTAATGTAGAGTTTGTGGTTCAACATCAGCTTCAAGGTGAAGCTGGGTTCATATTTGTGCTTGTTTTATGTCTTCTGGTTTGTGACCAAAATACTGTATTTCCAGATGGTAGAACTTGTTTTATTTCTGTTTAAAGTTTATTCTGCTCTGAGGATTTCTCTCCGTTCATCAGCTGCTTTATCTGTTCTAAGCACTGAGTGAGGTGATGGAGTGATGGATATATGTAATATATACTGTTCTTTTCTCCTCCGCAGGTTTTCCTCTGCTGGGACAAGATCCAAACAGTTCTTCTAACGGTTCTTCAGAGCAAAAGAAGTTAGCTGTTTGATCCTCTGGTGGCTGCTGTCAGAACAACAGATCCCTGAATCTACACTCAAAAATATGAAGGGAACACTTAAATCACACATCAGATCTCGATAAACGAAATATTCAAGTTCACAATCTTTACTGTACTGAACAAAATAATGTAACAGCGGTCAATAGAAACCAAAACCACCAACCGATGAGGTCTGGATTCAAAATCACACCGAAAATCAAAGTAAAAAATTAAATCACTGGCTGATCCAAATCTGACATAAATTTCATCACAGTAACTCATAATGTGACTCAGTAGTGTGTGTGTGGCCCCCACGTGCCTGTATGCACTCCTGACAACATCTGAGCATGCTCCTGGGTGGGGGGGGGACTCCTCCCAGACCTGGATCAGGGCAGGTACCGCCTCATGCTACCAGTAGTGACAGGGACACTCACAAAACGCAAAACTAGAGAAGAATCAGTCAGGAAGGATAAGGAGAGAGCTATTGTCTGTGGCCACCTCTAAAACTCATTCCTTTCTGGGGTTGTCTTGCTGTTGCCTCTTTCATTGTCACTTTTATTTGCACCAAAACAGGTAAAATGGATACACAATCACTTATCCTTCCTAACTGGATAGATTGATATCCCTGAAGTTTAATTGACTTTGTGTTATACTGTGAAGTGTTCCCTTAATTCTTATGAGCAGTGTACAATGTGTGTGTAATGTAACTTGTAGCTTAACTATGTTGTGTCTTAAAGCTTTAATGCTACAACTCATAGGAAGGTTGAGAAAAGAGGATTGTAAATAGTCCAGATGAGAAGAGATGGAAACAAAGGAATTTCTCAGGTGTCAGTATTCGATATATTCCTCACTGAAGGAATCAGTTAAAGAGTTAAACTCTGGTTTCAGTTCATAATATTAGGTCAATATTTTATTGTCATGAGTCGTCCAGCTCAACTGCAGCTTGTAAATATTTTATTGCGTGTGTGAATATTTTTAACATCCATGTGAAATGAATTTATTTTGACTGTTTATAAGAGTTAAAATGTTTTATACTATTTTCATCATGGTGCCGAGCAAGAATCTTCTATACTCAATGATTGATCATTAAATCTCATTAATGCTGTAATAATGTGCAATGAAGATGAGTCAGTATAACTTATATTTTATTATGAGCTAGAGTTTTCCTTGTATGTGCCTTGTTGTGTTGTTCACTGTAATATGTGTTTAATATTTAGGTCTGTTTATTTGCACTGGAAGTTTCCTTGTTGATGAGATATTCTTCCAATCAGTGAGTTAATGTTGTTAAGTTGTCTTTTCTTCCTCATGTGGTTCTTTGTTATTGGAGCAGCTAGTTAGCTGGTGACGTAGCGACAGCACACTGCTACAAACTCTACATCTGTCTACCATCACTTCCTGTTTCTACTGTGGACATTAAAGTGTCCTAAATAATAATGAGACATTACAATCATCATGTTTAAACTTTTGTCTCCAATCGTTTGAATAAAACAAACTTTCCTGATGGATGACTGGATGCTTTTATTTTGAAGGAAATCAGAGTGATTATTGATCTGCTGCAGCAGCTGTTTTTGATACTTAAAGTCTTACTAAAGACTCTTTGAACACAAACTAACTGGATTTAACATTTACACTTTATTTAATAACCTGAATTAAGTAGATATTTGTGTGGACTGTGGTTGAGAATCACTTCCTTTGGTACTCGGATACTTTCAGAGCCGGTCCTAACCTTCCTGGGGCCCTCAGCCAAAGTCCTCAAAATGTCTGCATTCAAACTGGAACAGTGAATACTATTTATACTGCGGGTTGACTGAATACTTGGTTATTATTTACTGAGAGATCTGCATCCATATTGCTCAGGATGTCCAGCTAATCAACATTTAGATTCAATATTTAATCAATAGTCAATGTATCGCTTAAAACGATGTGTTCCTGATTACCATCATGTCCATATTAACAACAGACACATCCTCCTCCTCCTCCTCTTCCTCTGCACTGTGGATTAATGTGGACATTAAAAGACACACATTATTGTTCCAGCAGTCTGTTTGTATATATGTGGAGGGAAAGAACTGAAGTATGAGTCGTTGTGAGACGAGAGTTACAAGAAGGGAGAAGAGTGTTTTATTATGAAAGTAGAACTTATTAACTGACTCATTAATCATTTACAACCATTGAAAAACAGATTCATAGACAATATAATCTATTGTAAAACTGGAGACGCTCTGAAAGCTGCAGTGGCATCAAACACTTTTAAACAGCGCGACTTCAGGTGGTAAATGGCACAATAACTGTGTGCCGATGTCCTTTCAGGTCCAAAACCTCCACTCACAACCCAAACTGTGGGATCACCTCTCTTCTGTTCATCCAGCAGCAGCAGTGTTGACGGATTGACCACCAGAACAAACCGCTGCGGACACAATCCACGAGAGGACTCTGCTGCTGATTGTTGGACAGGTTCAGAACAGTAAAAACAGCTGATGTCAAAGCGTCCAACACGTCTCATATTGGTACAATTAATGTCATTTACAGCATTAACGTCCATTTGTGGCCTCAGCGGCTGCTAAATACTGGCTGTTAACCCGTAATGACGACACCCAGGAAGGGTCAAAGGTCGAGTGTTCAGTGACGAGGTAATCACGCTGTGAAATAGAAACATTTGATTAATACAAAATATAACGTTCCCACCTGTTTGAAACCTTGTAGCAGCTGATAATAATGTCCCATATTAAACATGAATTTAAACTGTACTGGATCACCTTTACACTTTACTCCTTCAGAAACACTGAATAATGATATTTAATAATAATGGAACAAGGTTACTATTGAAGACATCAGTGGATAATGTTACCGCCACAGTTAGAGTAGCAACGATTGCATAACGTAATATCATTTATTACGATCTTATTCCCCGACATCATCAGCTGCTACAAACCTCCAACCAGAGCTGAACCCTCCAGAGAGCTCTGCAACCCTGGAGACCTGGACCTCCATCCACAGGCGTCTGCGTGGTGCTGCCACTTTACCAAACCATGAAGGATCATAATAATTTGAACTACTTATACTATGTGACCATGTGAGATGTTTAGAGGTGGAGAGTCTCTGGTGCATATATGTATAACTGTACATATATAAAGATAAAAAAACAGCAGAGACGGTAAGTCCTTAAAGTGCTCAGAAAATGTGTGAAGAGTTTCTGTCTCCTCGGTCTGTGACTGTTGTGTTATCTTTGATATGTTCACTCTTTCAATAACTGTCCTTCAGTCAGTGTAAGCAGGTCCTGATGGGACAGGCTCCAGCATCCTTCAACCCTGGATGGGAAACCAGAAAGTAGACTGGATGGTGGATCATTTTGTGCTATTTTAAACATCAGACTTTATTATTGTGATTGCATTAAAGGCTGAAGGCTGAAGAACAACCTGTTTAGACCACAGCGTTGTGAGCAAACACCCTTCAGTCTTATTGAAAGTAAGTCAGTAATAATGTACTGTAAACCTTCTGAACATGTCCACTTATCATAAAAGCTCAGCTGAAAATAGAATGCGGTTGTGCGGGGCGGGATGGAGCGGGTCAGATTATTAAATAAATGCGGGACCCGCGGGTTGGAAAAAACCCCGACCCGCGCATCACTAGTTCACATGTGTGCAGACAGACAGAAACAGATGTTTCAGAGGACGCTGCAGAGGAAAGGACGTCTCAATTCTCTAAAAGCAGATCTTTTCCCACGGACCAGATGAGGCCTCTCAGCGTTACAACACTTTCGGTTTCACACACCTTCAAAATAAAAGCACTTAAAGATTTGGGTTTTAAAGACCTCCAAAGTGACTTGGTATTTAATCATCACTCCAGTTCAGTGTAATGTCAGATCAGGGCTGCAATGAACAGTTGATGGAGAGTCTGTCTCAAGTTGAAAATCTACACCTGTGTATAATAAAGTGTTCTTCTCTGACATTGTGGCTGTCAATCAGATATTAACCCTGTAGTGTTCAAAATGTCACAATAAACTTCTTCTTTCTCTCCCAGGAATACATTTGGACATATCAAAGTGGATATCAGATAATAATAAAGTCAATAATTAAATGAATGTCTGAATCCCCTTTAATAAACATGTTAAGAAGGTTTACAGTACATTATGACTGACTAAGACTGACTGCAGTGTGCTTTCTCACAATGCTGTGGTCTAACAGGTTGTCCTGTGTGTATGACCTGCTGTACTGTAGCAGTCACAATAAGAAATGAGCAGTCTGATGAACACTGTGCTGTTTTAAATAGCATACAATGATCCACCACCCAGTCTATACCTGTTTTTTACCACTGCACTATTGTCTACTGTCTATAAATGTTATTGTTTTTGTTTGTTTATTTATATAAAACTGTAAATAATAGTTTATGTCTGTTTCGTTGTCTGTGTATGTACATTGAGATGCACATATATAACTATTAAACATAACACAACAACCACAGACCGAAGAGACTTTAAGGACTCACCGTCTCTGCTGGTTTCAAAGCATTCAAAATACATTTATAGCGTTATGCTTTTAATCTGAAAATGGTGTGTATAGTGTCTTAGTCTAGGGTATGTTTGGGGCTGAGAGGTGTTTTGTGACTTGAATAAGTTTATGGCCAGAAGTCGCTCAGATCTCCGTGGAGAATAGCCTACCTCAACATGACTTGACCATGGAGATCCCCTGCTGCTGTCAAGCCAGCCGTGACTCCGACTCCGAAAACATAGGAGACTAGCACCGTGGTACAACCACCAAACCCGCCAATTGAAGCAAATAACAAGGAAGTTGGAAAGGAAATGGCACTCTTCTAAATTATCAGAATGTCGCTCAATTTGGCAAGATAATCTTAAAATTTATAGAAAGGCCCTCCGTAATGCCAGAGGAGCCTATTACTCAGCACTAATAGAAGAAAATAAGAATAACCCTAGATTCCTCTTCAGCACTGTAGCCAGGCTGACAGAGAGTCACAGCTCTATTGAGCCACATATCCCCATAAACTTAAGTAGCAATGACTTCATGAGCTTCTTCTATAATAAAATTATTACTATTAGAGAGAAAATTAATCACCAACTGCCATCAACAGTCATCAGTGGCTCTCCAAGTTCAGGGACTTCTGTCAATGTAAACTTAGATATATATTTAGACTGTTTTTCTACTATCGATCTTCATCAGTTAACTTCAATCATTTCTTCATCGAAGCCATCAACCTGTCTATTAGACCCGATCCCAACTAGGCTGCTTAAAGAAGTTGTTCCCTTAATTGGCACTTCTTTACTGGATATGATTAATCTTTCTTTATTATCAGGATATGTACCACAGTCCTTTAAAGTAGCTGTAATTAAACCCCTTCTTAAAAAAGCCCACTCTTAACCCAGGGGTTTTAGCCAACTATAGACTGATTTCTAACCTCCCCTTCCTCTCTAAGATTCTGGAGAAAGTAGTCGCCAAAGAGTTGTGTGACTTTCTACATAACAATAGTTTATTTGAGGATTTTCAGTCAGGATTTAGAGTTCATCATAGCACAGAGACAGCTCTGGTTAAAGTTAATAATGACCTTCTGACTGCTTCTGACAATGGACTTGTCTCTGTACTTGTATTATTAGATCTTAGTGCTGCATTTGACACCATTGACCATAATATTCTTTTACAGAGACTTGAGCATCAAATTGGCATTAAAGGAACTGCCCTAAGCTGGTTTAAGTCATACTTATCGGATCGTTCTCAGTTTGTACATGTTAACGATGAATCTTCAATAAATACTACAGTTAGTCATGGAGTTCCACAAGGTTCTGTACTTGGACCAATACTATTTACTTTATATATGCTCCCTTTAGGCAACATTATTAGGAATCACTCCATTAACTTTCACTGTTATGCAGATGATACGCAGTTATATCTATCAATCAAACCCCATGAAATTAATCAATTATCTAAATTACAAACATGTCTTAAGGACATAAAATCCTGGATTACCTGCAATTTTCGGATGTTAAACTCAGAATAAAACGAAATTCTTGTTCTTGGCCCCAAAAACCTAGAGACTCACTGTCTAAAGATATAGTTACTCTAGATGGCATTAACTTGGCCTCTAGCACCACTGTCAGGAATCTCGGAGTTATCTTTGATCAGGACATGTAATTTAACCACAACCACAACAACAATTCCCACTGGCTCCCGGTAAAATTTAGAATAGAATTTAAAATCCTCCTCCTCACCTATAAAGCTCTTCATGGTCAGGCCCCTTCATATCTTAAAGAGCTCATAGTACCCTATTACCCCTCTAGAACACTACGTTCTCTGAATGCTGGGCTACTTGTGGTTCCTATAGTCTCTAAAGTAGAACAGGAGCCAGAGCCTTCAGTTACCAAGCTCCTCTCCTGTGGAACCAGCTTCCAGTTGTGGTTCGGGAGGCAGACACCCTCACCACATTCAAGAGTAGGCTTAAAACATTCCTCTTTGATAAAGCTTATAGTTAGGGCTGGATCAGGTGAGTCCTGAACCATCCCTTAGTTATGCTGCTATAGGCCTAGACTATCGGGGGATTTCCCATGGTGCACTGAGCTCCTCTCTTCCTCTCTCTTTCTGCACTCATTCATGTTCCATTAATGCATGTTACTAACTTTACTTCTTCCCCGGAGTTCTTGTGCTTTCTCGTCTCGCAGGTTCTTATTGATCCTGGTGGAGCCTCCTGCCATGGTCCTGCTAGATTGCCATTGCTAATATCACTGATATTGTTATTAATATTATTATTACTACAGCTACTATTATTACTATTGTCACTGCTTGTTGTCCCCCCATCATTGCTGTTGTTGTCGTCATCATCTACTATTAGTGTAGTTGTTGCTGCTGTTGTTGCTGTGCACTTGTCTGTCTGTCTGTCTGTCGCTCTCTCGCTCTCTCTCTCTCTCTCTCCTCTCTCTCTGTCTCTCTCTCTCTCTCTCTCTCTCTCTCTCACCCCAACTGGTCGAGACAGACGACCACCCACCTAGAGCTGAAGGATCTGTCCTAGGTTTCTGCCTTTTAACAGGCAGTTTTTCCTTGCCCCCTTCGCCAAGGTCTTGTTCATGGTGGTACTGTTGGGTCTCTGTAATTAATGTTAAAGAGTTCGGTCTAGACCTGCTCTATTTGAAAAGTGTCCTGAGATAACTTCTGTTATGAATTGGCGCTATACAAATAAAATTGAATTGAATTGCATTGAATTGATCTCCGTGGTCGAATCAGCCGCACTTAAATTTCGAGTGTACAAGTATTCTCAGCATTACGGTAAATGCGGAGAAACATCGTATTCATTTCCGGTTTTCAAAATAAAGGTATCAAGAACAGTAAGCTATAATTAGAACCTACATTTAAAATAAAACATATTACATTAAAGTGTTTCATGCGCCCATGATGAATAAAAAACATACTTAATATCAAGTATCTTGGCCTGGATAGCTCAGTGGGTAGAGCTGGCGACCCATGTACTGAGGCTGAGTCCTTGCTGCAGTGGAGAAATGTCAAAATAAAAGTCCCATATTTGTACCTCCAAGTGGCATATTTTCTTATATTTGAGGTACTGTAAAACACACTGCTTAATAATTCCTGGCTATAGGTGATGCTTTTTTATTATACTTCAAGAATGATGCAGTAATCATGACAAAATTCCACACAAATGTTTAATACATGTTATAAGAAAGTGATGATAAAGTCATCAAAAACTAAACACAAAATCCTACTTAATTCTAATTTATTATTCATTAAAATAAAATTCTGTA